CCCTCTAGAACCCTCAGTTTGTTTCTCAGAGTTCATAGTGATTTCTCTTTTAGAAAGGAGACAGAGAACCTCCTCATGAGGGTTGCACAAAAAAATTTTAAATTTTTTACATTTTTATTTAAATTTTATTTTGAAGCTTGGCACAACAATAAAAATGCTAATCTGCATTGAATATTCATAAATGTATTCCCCTTTGTTCTCAACATGCTTTTAAGTGAATAAATGTGGTAATGTCATATGTACTCCAAAATGACCACTGGAATTCCAAATTGTTCTTGATGGGATGTGAGGGCGATCTGGCTGTGACATCTGTCACCCCATTGATCGCCAGGGTTGATTCGGCTGATCTGGCTGTCTAGGCGGGTGTCCCCTTCCTCCCTCACCACTCCATGTGTGTCCCTCCTGAAGCTGCGCGCTCGGTCGAAGAGGACGACCTTCCCCGATAGAGGAGGACCGTTCTTCGGTCAAGGGTATACGAGTAGCTGCGCTCCCTTAGTAGAACCTCCAAACAAGTTCTCAAGGTCCAAATTATTCTTGATGAATTTGTGCTAGCTATTTATTTATTTATTTATTTATTTATTTATTTATTTATTTTTAAGTAGGCTCCACGCCCAGTGTAGAGCCCAGCATGGGGTTCAAACTCAAAACCGTGAGATTAAGATCTGATCCAGCCACCCAGGCACCCCGAGTTTATACTTTTTAGAAAGATAAATGCACGAAAAATAAAACAAGCCAGAGTTATGCCAGGAGGTGGCACAAGTTTATTATTAGATGAACACATGAATTCATTAGCTAAGGTCAGTCAAAAGGGAAAATATTGCTTATGTATTATGTCTAAAGTCCTTAGCACTGAGGTTGAATCCCTAACAGGTGACCCTAAAAATCAGTGGAAAGAGGTAGAGATGGCTTCCAAAGCCAGTTTTTCAAACATAAAGAAAAGTTCTTACAGACACACAACAATGTAGCCAAATAAACTACATCTTTTTTGCTGACAAATAGAATGATTAGTATCAAATCAATGCTCTAGCACCTCTACAAGGAAAACAAAAATTCATACAAATTGGATCAGATAACCAAAAAGTCCTCATAACCTTATTCTTACAAAAAATAAAATTGATATCAACTAGCTTTGGAAGCTCAACAAAAAAGGATTAGACCTTAAGCAAGTGCTGGACTTACCATCATAGACAAAGAATCTCCAGAGCAAAGAGGCTCAAGAGACCTCCATGAGGTGCAATGTAACCAATATGAGAACTGGTAGAAAGGGTTCTTGCCTAACTAAGTCTTGGTGAGACCTACATGACTATCAAAGTCTTAATACAATGACCATCAGGGAAACCTGTTGATTATATAAAGCAGTGTATATTAACATTTCTGAGCAAGGGAGAGTATCACTGTGGCACAGTCCCGGTAGTGTCCCAAAAGGAGGAAATTAAGGACAATTAGAGGAGTTTGAGAACTGAAGTTGGTCATGAGAACTGGGGGTGGTTTTAAGGTAGAAGTTAGTAAGTAAGGTCTAGGCAGAGACTGATCAGATTTGTAAAATAGGTGAGTCGCTGAAACAGTCTTATCTTTGGAGCACATGAGTTCATGTAGAGTTATCATGGTCTCAATTTGTCCTTATTCTTGGAGCATATAAATCTAAACAAGTTTGTGTTAAAACAATTTGACTTCAGATAGTTGTTTGAGTTACATTTCATAGTTTGGTACAGTTTATCTGTTATGCAAATAATAGTACAGTTTTGCAAATTGATGTTTCTGTTTTATTTCTCAGAAGAGTTTGTAGGCAAGATAACCAATTATAAGGATTTGCAAACATTCAGACATATTGAATGTAAGGGGGGGCCTTGGTAAGAGCGTGACTGAAAACAGGGTCAAGGAGGAGATATATTAGGATGTTCTTAAGGACTGTAATCTTTGGGAAGATAGTGGACTACAAAGGGAAATAAAAAGAATCAAAGGTTTAATGTGTGAAAGCAGTGCACCATTGATAAGAACAGAAGAAATTGAAATTTAATATATGGTAGACAGGAAAGTAACAAGGTATGGAGATGATTGTTTATATGTTTTTTTACTTTGTATTTTTCTTTCTTTTGTATTTTAACTGTGACAAGTTTCAGGCATCATTCCAAAGATGACCAGAAATATAGGATACCAGAAAATAAAATTAAGTTTTAAAAGGAAATATTGTGAATTTATTCTATATTCGGACTTATACTCCCATCCAGTTGCTTGTTTTCTTTGAAAATACTTAAAATGCACCGTAAATCCCACACCCTCATTTAACCAGGTATTATTTCATTATGTCAGTTTTACATATAAATAACTAGTTCTCCAATGATCTTTAATTGTTCTGTTATTTCGAGAACTGTTTGCAGCAAATAACAGAAAGGAATGTGAATGTCAAAGAAAACACCCTAATAAGAGGGACTCTTATTTAGTTTGTGGTCAGTACCCTTCTGTGAAAAAAAAAAAATTATATAACCACACAGTTTTCTTTCTGAAGCAATTTGTCTGATTAATGGAGTTAAAGAGCTGTAAGCCTTTGCCTTTATAAAATTATAATGACTTCAATAACTGTGTGTTAATTAAGATCAGAAAATTAATCTATATTAGCACTGCAGGAGCAATTTTCTAAGCTCTGTCAGTCACATGGCATCTGATTAAGTTAAATTAATGCAGTATTTGAAGGGAAGATTCCCAGGTGACACTGAATAAGATGATCAGTTTTTCTCTAGCTATTTTAAGGGGACAGTTGGTTGCAAAGCTGCTACTTTTCCAATGCAAAGCCAAAGGTCCTGCCACATGGTATCACCACTGAGTCAGAAGGAAGATTGAAGGGCTAGAGGTTATTGTTTGGGAGAACTGAGATATGAAGAACTGAGTATTGTTTGGGAGAACTGAGATATGAAGCCCTGAGTATTGGTCATATTAATAGCCTACGTATCTAAAATGTGCAGGCTTGCCTTCAACCTCCTAAGATAATATTCCAGATTTCCTCACTTCCAAGATGTACTTTTTTTCATTTTATATTTCTGAAATCAAAGTCCATCTTGAAATTGATGTATAAATTAAAGTTGCATTTTGGTAAAGTCTGCATGTGTTAAGGATCCCTACTCTTAAGTGTTTTATAACCTAATCTAAATCTGTATTCACACTATAGACTAATTCTATCTGTACTAGTATCTAGGAGTAAAATATGAGAACAAGTGGGGTAAAATATGCACTCTTTAGGAAGAGAATCATATTTATTATATATTTACCCATATTAACTGAGTGTTCATTACCTCAATCAATCCTGACAACTACTTTTCAAGATAGTTATTATTACTATATGTTATATTCGAGAACATTAGGCATAATGTGTTTGGGTAACTTGAATTTGAATCTTGTCTGAATCCCAAGCTCTTCCTACTATACCACCCTGCCTCACTGGAACATCCTAACATAGAATAAGCTTCTAATCATTTTTTTCATAGACATATAATGGTAGATATTAAATCTCTAAAGAGTGACTCAATTCAGAGTCATGGAATAATTGTGCATATGTCTAGTTAAGTATTATTTGTTTAAATTTGCTAATAAAGATACAAGACACCTGTCTCCCTCTCCTTCAAATAAGTTCAACTTCTTTGGTACTGTTGATCTCACTTCAGAAAAGAGATCAAAAAGCTTGAAACAAAATATTAACAATCATTCTCTTCATACCTGAGAATATCATGTCACACAGTCTCTACCTCAGATGTTCTCAGTGAAAGACAAACTGGAAAATAATACTGGGAGGGATAAAGGAGGTTGTTTTATTTAGTTTATCCTGGTGAGCAACCACTGGGAAGGCCAATCTCTACAGAGCACTATTGTCAAACTGTAGCCAAAGCAGGTGTGATATTTGGCCTGCTGTTTAGTCACCATTTAAATTTCTGCATGCTTTTTAATTCTGGAAGAATGTTTTTTTCAGTCTCCTATACTCTCAATATTTATTCAGAGATCCTTTGGGCATGTATCTTCTATGTGCCAGATACTGTAGTAGATGTTAGATAAGGTAAACTCTGCTTACTAGATCTATTTCTTTTCCATCAACCATAGGCAACACCAAAAAGAATAATTTGTGGTGTTTTTTTTGGCTTTGTAGCTGCTAAATCCCGAAGATGACCTCTTACCAGGAAAGATTCGAGACAGCAATCGTTCAACCCTCTTAGCAACAATTCAGGAACATGGTTATCCCACAATCAACTTGGGAATTGTGGGAGACAAGTAAGTATTGGATTTTATTTGGAAGTTGTTATTGTACACATTTGAATTTTGGGAGTGCTAACTAGGTGGTATTGTTGTTAAAGAGAAATTTAATACCATAATTTTCATTAATCTCATTCTTCAGAAGCAAAAGAATTATGAACATGTCTGTGCCTTTTTGCGATAGACATTGTCCTGGAGTGTCTATTACAACAGGAGAAATATTTTTGTTCTCCTATAGGTATGTAAAGTTTCCAAGGATTTTTTTTTTATATCATTGGCTTTATTCTAATGGAATTAATGGTGATGGTATTATTCCTATTCACACTCACTTGTTTCAAGAAAGGCAGGAAAGACATGAGTAAGAAGATAAAGAATGTTAAAATTCTCACTAACTGCTCCTTTGCAGTTTAAGTACAATTGTTTTCTAGGACTTTTATATTGATTTTTTTGTATCTTATGTAACCCAAGTTTCTGTAGCCTTCACCCACTTGTAAGTACATATGGAGGCACATTGACTAGAATTGCCCATCTCTAAGAGCATATTACCCTATATTCTAAATTAACTGAGCCCTCTGCTAAATTCCCCAAGGATTTATATGAACTTCCAACAAATTTTCACATGTGATCAAGAGCAAGTCTGCTCTTTCTGAGCATCCCACTACCAAGTGACATTGCTACTCAGCCCTCTCTCACCAGGATTTCCAGGTCGCAAGAGGCATACCTGCTTTTAATAATACTCAAACATCAGCCTGGTGGAGACAGAGCTGGGAGACAAATCTGAGTGACAGATAGCATGATGTATCTGTCCCCTATAATTGCCCCTTTCCTTTATCACCACCTTGTAACTGAATAAAGCTCATTATGTCTGGATCCTTCTTCCCCAGGACAAGGTAGGAATTTCCCAGCAAATGTGCTTTTGAAGAGGCTCTGCCTTACCATTTCACAAGATATGCTCTGACACCTATATTCCAGCTTAAGCCCAACCTGGACACAGCATAATCCAAACCTTGGACCCAGCATCCTAACAATAACATGAAAGGGAGTAGCTTTTATGTCCTTTCACTTTTTAAAGTCCTTTCCTCCTTGTTTTTTTCTTTTTCTGATGATATTGGAATAGAAGCTGTATACTTTCAAATGTCATTGTTTTTAAAATCTTAACATTTGTATTTACCTGGATGTTTAGCTCTAGAGACACCCATAGCTAAATAGCCAGCCAACTTAGAACCCATGCTGGTGAAGACAATGTCACAGGCTGCTTAGTATCACCCTGACCCAGGCTCCCTAGCCCTTGGAAGGAAGTAGAAAGAACCTACTGGAAAAAAAGAGGGGGGGGTGCATTTATTTGAATTTGGGCCTGACCACCAATAACCTGTCCTTTCATATAAAACTAAAAGTTATCCGTAGATACACCTTTAAAGAGGACAAAAATTAACTTCCCAAAGGAGGTTAGAGGAACCCAAGAGTTCCAAAAGCACAGAGCAGATCCTGAAACTCTAGAGAACAACTTACCAGATCGTTTAGGATTTGTTTCCCACCCACAACTGGCTCTGGTCCTGTCTTCAAGTGCATTAATGATCTCTAAGCAATATTATAAGGTAAAAGAAGCTTGTTGTTTGTTTTTCATTTTACCTTAAGCTGTTCTGTACTATAATTCTGTCTACTCCTCCTATTTTTGTACTTTTGTATAAAAAAAATGCTTGCTTGATATACTGTCTATGCTGCCAGTACACCAGTGAAAGCCTATGTTGATATGCTAATATTTAATTGTCTGTTGATTTGCGGTAGACATTTACTAATAATTAATATTGATATTACATATAACTCCAAAATATACCTTGAAAACAGCATATAAAGAACAATAAAATGATAAGCAAGATATAGGCAATTCTGAGAATATGCAAATCTCTAGTGTATATTCTTTTCTCAGATGGAAATATCTTCCATAAAACTGAGAACAATTTTTTAAAAATACAACAATGCAAATCTAGACTTTCTCAGTGAGAGTGCTATTTTGAAGAGGCCCAGAATAAATGGTTGGAATGCGGAGATGGAATGCGGGTGGAAAGAATTTATAACTGTTCTAATGGAAATCTATGTTGGAGTTTAGCAAAGGAAACAAGGTACATTTAATCTGCAGCCTGTTGATACTCTGTGAAGGTTACCTCCCACTTCATTCTTCTCCTTCCTATGTAGCCTTTTGCTAATGAAAGCAAATGTTATACAGAAGCCTCTCTGTGAAGCTCTCCAGGGAAACACAAGGGTCATGGGAGAAACTACACTTTGTGTAAAGCAGGGAGAGAAATAGCTCAAGAATGTCAGTAAGCCCAGAACCCCTGCTCAGCTATGACCAATAAGAATAGGGAGTAAGAGCTCTATTCTTGTATTTAAAGAAAGATTAGTGTCTGGTTTTTAAATTCTGTGATTCTACTTCTCAGCTCTTATTCTTACCACCAACCATAATTTTAATGATAAATGTTAAAATTGAAGATTAAGACTCTGTAACTTATTTGGATTAAATTGAGCTAAATTTTGCCTTTGCTTATTCTACATTTTATTTAAAAAGAGAGTACAGTGAAGATTACGGGAAGGATGCTTCAAATACCTGAGAGTTAACAACTATATTTTAAAGCATTCACTTATAAATATTTTGTGTATATTAAAATATATTCTGTAAGGCATAGTTTCTCACAGCACGTGGAACACAATACTCTTGGGGTTCCTAGTTGTTTTTTTGTTTTGTTTTGTTTTTAAGACAAATTTTGAAACCCAGAGATGTTAAATGAACTTGCTCAGCATTATACAAGTTAGTGGCAGAGGTGAAAATGGAAGCTAAGTTTTGAAATTAACAATCTACAATTCTTTGCTATCATTACGAAGACAAGATAATAACTATAAATATGTCAGAAAAGAATCATCACTATGCGCTAGAATGATCAGAGTTTTATAAAGGTGCAATGTTAGTTAAAACATGAAGGATGAATAGAATTTGTATATTTAGAAAAAGAGTGTGTTAATCAAGTAGGAAACATGGAATGAACAAAAAATAGAGAAATAGAAAATAAAGTAGAGAAGTAGAAATAAACAGCTACAGGTCAGGCCAGATTGATCAGAACAGGAGGTTCAGGTAGAAGGATAATGGAGGTCAATTTGGTAGAAATTTAATAAGGCTTTGCAATCCAAGCAGAACTACCCAACTCACTTAAATTTTAAACTTTTTTAAAAAGCAGAATTGACATAATAACCATTATTTTAGAATAATTTGAACAAGGTAAAACATGGGCTAAAGTTGGAGATAGGCTAGAAATAAGAACAATACAATTTGTTCATTAATTATTCAGTCAGGAAGTATGTGTTGTGTACCTATGAGAATCATCTGAAGATCTTATTTAAAATGCTGATTCTGATTTATGTGGGGTGGGCCAAGATATTGCATTTCTAACAAACTCCCAAGGATACCAAGCTGCTGGTCCATGGATCACGGGAAATAACAAGGATTTTGTCAATTTAATCATGCCATCTACTATGGATTTTAAGACAAAGGTTATTGAAGATACAAAGCTAAAACATAGATCTTGCCTTTGAAATTACATGTACTAGAAATGTACTAGAAACTATAGACTAGTAATAAAAATGTTTTGGAAAGTTTCAGAGCTTAAACTCACATTTGGAAGTAGAATTTTTTTTTAGAAAGAGACTAAATCAAAAGACATTGTAAAGGCTATTACATAGAACGGAAGAGCGTCAATGTTGATTTCTCTTCATCTGGATTACAAAGCCTTATCAAAATGATATGTGACTACAAACACAAATAAAATACCTACAAAACCCAGCCAGTAGGTCTCTCTAGCACAATTTTACATCCCGCTCCAGCAATACACCACTTCCATTTCTTCAGGCTCCATTTGTAGTCTATCCTTTCTTGGTTTTTGTAGCTCCTCTTCCTGTACTCATTCTCTAAATTTAGGGGTCCCCATGGCTCACTCTTGGCTTTCTGTCCTTCTAATTTCTTATGCTAATGACTCCTAGATCTTATCTCTATCTTGAGCTCCATGCCTAGATCCACCTGCTTACTAGGTGCATTTTCTTTTAAGTTCAGTAGGCACTGCAAATTCAACCTGTCCAAAACTAACCATCCCCCCACCTCTCTCACTGCCCCTCCCCACTGCCACCCTGTTCCATTTCCGTTCATTCTTCTGTCTCAGCCACCAGCCAGTCACCTAAGCCAGAAGAAACCTGAACAAGAGTCATCACAGCTCCTCTCTTCCACTCACTCTATATTTAAGTCCTACAGACTTTCCCTCCTTGGTATTTCTTCTCTACATTCCCATCTCTTCATTCCTACCATCCTGGCTTAGTTCAGGACTCCATTTATTTTTTGTCTAGACATACAAGACTAGCATCTTAATTGGTCTCCACGCCTTAAGTCTTGTTCCCCTCTAACTCACCCTCTATTCTGCTACCTTTCTAAGGTGCATATTCTATACCTATGGCAGAATTGGGGTTTTATTATATATGGATAAGCAGACTGTAATAATTCAACAGACCTTTACAAACGGTTATGCTCTATCAGGCATTGTACCAGTCTTTGGTACTACAGAGATAAATAAGACAGTTATTAGTAAGAACTACAAAAAAGTTTTCAATTCTGATCCACTTTTCTCTTTCCTCCCAGTCTCCAATCTCCAGTCTCCTTACTGCAAACATGTCAGTCTTTACTGAGTACCCATTATATGTGTGTGTGTGTGTGTGTGTGTGTGTGTGTGTATATAACACTATACTACATTCTTTCATGTATGTATCTTATTTAAGCCTCTTGAAACAACAGAGCCAGATAAGTATCTTTAATCCCCATTTTGGAGATAACAATACTGAAGCTTAAAAAAATCAACCTATTCAGGGTCATGCAGCTAGTAAAAGGCAGAGTAAGGAGTTAACCCAGGCCCGTCTTAACTTCAGGGTCCTTTCTCCTTTTGCTCTACCACCCTACTTTTTTAACTGGAGTTAGCATCTGCATTTCA